AGGTAAACAGAGGTTCTAGGGAAGTTATCTCAACATATTTTCTGGGCAGTTTCTTTAAAAGTCAAGTTTGCCTCATGTAATTAGTGATGTAATGTGCAAAATCTGTTAATTTTCAGATAATGTTAGTAAATAAAGTTTTCTCAGGTATTTTGCTGACGGTACAGAGCCTATTGCACAGCTGCCTATTTTAGGTGAGCTTACTAGGAGTTCAGGCGTGAATGCTCGGAGAAGTTTGTAGTTTTGTCTTACCTCTGGCTGTTGTTTTAGTCAAGAGTTTGCTTCTGTTCCAATAATGATGGTGGTTTTGAAAGCTTTTAAATGACTCGGTCTGCAGTAATTTTGACTATATTGAAGAGTCACTATTAATGTTTTATTTTGTATTATAAAAGTTAAAATAGGTACTCTATTGGCTGTTTAAATTGGAGCAGAAAAATCTTGTGGTTAAAGAACAAAAGACCAGGACAGACTCTGTCTTCAGTCATTTTCTATTGGATTACAACTGTTCTGATTTAAAAAAATTTAAAATAATATTGAAAATTTAAAATAATATTTTATCAAAATTGGAGAAGTAAATGCCCTCCAAAACAGCAGACATAACCCACCCCTGCCTTTGCAGATGTCAGCTCTTTAAACACAATCCCTTCCCTTCTACTTTCAGAGAAGTTGTTTGTTCAATGAGAAATTTTGTTATGCTGTGCTCAGTAAGGGTTAATACATAGTGGCTTCTCAAGTCGGCCATGACTCAAATAACCACCTGCAGCGACAGACCATGTGCTGGGAGGTTTATGCTTTAATCTATCCAAATATCAGATAATCCTAGAACATCACAAGAAGAGGTGCAAAGCCGGTTTTATGATTTAATTCTTTCTGTTGGTTATACAGTTCATTTAGGTTTATACTGTTGCCAAAATCTGAAACAGTTTTGTGGTTGAAGGGTTTTTGTTGTATTTCACATACTGTCTAGCATCAGAGTAAAACTTACTGAACCTTTGGGCTGTTAGGAAGTTCAGTTCTAGAAAAGGCATTTGTCTGGTTATTATTTATTCCAGATCTGAGATTTATGTCAATGTCAATGACTACCCTTAAATTTCTCGCAAGAGGCAAGTTGGTGTTTAAGTGTATACAGTACACCTAGTCTTAGGTGACATTCTTGTGTTGGAACATAAGTAGCTGATGGACTCTTGTTACGATCGAGTGAAAACCTGTGGTCATGGGGCACTGAACCACTGAAGATAGTGGTTTATCACTTCTTTAAAACAGGTCTCACTTTGCAAAATCTCTTGTGCTGGTGCTATTAGCTGTAGAGTGGAAAAAGCACTCACAAATGTTGATGGAATGATTCAGGCTGTGTAGTGGTCAAAAACATAAAATCTTCTTCATATTCAGATATGAAGCATCAGTGGAACCCAAATAATTGCATGGCGTATTCTAATCTTCCTCATCCCTACAAGATTAGAGAGAGTGTGTGATTTCCTTAGCAAAATCTTAGTCTAAGACAATTCTGTCTGAATTTCATATTTTTTGGGGTGGGAATTATGTCTTATGCCTGAGAGGAGAAAAGTGACGAGCTTAGGACTCAGATTTTCAGAAGAATGCTTAGGAGTTAAAATCTTGCAAAAAGTAAACCTTGAGGAAAAGCTGAACTATTTTCACAATCTTCTGCATAGTTTGATTAAACTTTACATTATGCAGAGTTGCCCAAGAATCGTGACATTTTGGAAATGCTGCAGAGAAATATTTAATCAATGTTTTCTTTGATACTGTTTTTACTAATGATTATCAACTGAATAGAAAAGAAAGGAAATTACCTGCTATGTATGTACTCATTAAGGTTGGTTTTTGTTTTGTGTTGTTTTTTTTTTTTTTTTAAAGTATTTGGATGTCTCTGATATTGGAGGAGGACAGGATGTGTATAGCTTGACAAAGTGAAGCTTAATTGAGGAATAGAAGTGGTCCAGTGGGCAGTCGGGGCCTCCAGAGACCCGAGCTCGGTTCTTGTTTAACTGTAGATTTCTTATATGACTTTTTGGCAAGTCATTTAGTATAGTCTGTGCCTTTGGGAGTATCTCATTTTACAGATGGGGAACTGTCTCAGAAGGGTGTTGAAAATAAAATCCATTAATGACTGTGAAAATATATAAATGCCTTCAATATGCTGAAACTTGGCCATGGTTTCAACATGGGTTTTTTCCTCTGAAAGTATGTCTGGTTTTATGCCTTTTGTTCCCTGAAACAGGCTACTAATATGCTTTATTCATGCTTGGAGTTTCTCAAGGTCTGTGCTGCTTTGCAGCAATCGTTATCTCAATACATTGCCGCATGAGGATTATTTTAGCCATAAAGAAGTTGTTTAAAGTACCTTTACAATTGATCTTCCTGGCACCTATTAAAACTGTATTTTAACAAAAGTCACAGCAATAGCGTGGGCCAGTAACAGGATAAACCAGTTTGGTGATCAAAAATTTTGCTCAGTGATAGATTTTACATCTTTTATTGCATGCCAAGGATGTGGGGTGTGTGTGCGAGGCATATATTTTGCAAGGTAGCTTGCTTACAGCAAAGCTGTTCTTGTATTCACTCCTCTGTCCCATCCCTAGTTTGCATCTTGCCTTGCTCTCTGTTGTCCTTTTAAACAGTCCTGTCTTTTTAGATACCTTTTCGTAGCGTCTCTCTGCATGTATAAGTGCTTGGCTGCATTCAGAGAGAAGTATTTTTAGTCAAAGGGAAGGATCAGAATCAGAACTGCCGTGATCAGACTGTTTCCGTTGCATTCAAGGATGTCTGTTACGTTCAGCTGAATTTGGCCAGTCATTCTGTTTCTGGTTACATATATCTGAGGCGTTTCACATGTGATATCTTTCAGGGCATTTGGTGAAAACTTCATGGAAGCTTTAGATTGTGGTGTATGCATCTTTTGTCACTTATTTATAAAATGACATTGCATTGTCTCCACTTTCTTCTAAGTGTAGTTTAATGTGCAGATTGAAAGGAAAGACATATAGCTTTTATTATAGTAGTCTGACTTTTTTTTGAGGTATTTATATTGTTATGTTTCTAGGCATTACATCAGGTATGTTTTACACAAAATTAGGATTGAACCAGTCCTCTTCATTCTGTACTTGCTTTGATACATGAAAGACCTGATATCAAAAGAAGGTTTCCTATCAGTTTAGGGGTTTCTGCTTTTTTGGGGAGGTTCTTTTTACATGTAAGGTCAACTGAGGCAGCTGAGCTGCCAGCTTCTGACAAAAGTACTAGTTCATGTGTGACGAGACTGTCAGCATAGGTACTCACTGAAATGAAACAGGGGTATTTTATAAATTTAAAAATAAGAATATGTCCATATCATTCTCATTCTCATTGGTATTAGGGCCTTTTAACACTGAAAAATACTTTCTTTGTAAAAGAGACTCCCTCTTACATATACTTCATTCTGCTTAGAGCACCAGCAAAAATTCTGAATCAAAATCAGTAAGCAACATTTCTAATAATTTGTACATTAAAACAGTCCACTTGATAGGTAATGGAAACTTGGGTTCAGTGTTCCAGTCTTTTTCCTGAGTTGCTTCCAATGCTGTTTGTACTTAAATGAGCAGAACGGAGACTTTATGATGGTGGTCACCAACTCGTGCAGATGCCTGAGTCTTCTGCAGGAATGGTGTTAGGGTTTTGTATGTGTATGTGCACACTGGGATTTGAACTGCATGAAGAATTTTACTGGAAGCTTAACCAAACAGTGTATAGTGCTGATACAAACAGAGCATTAGACACGCCTGTCTTTTAATACAGCCATCTGTTGAGTGCTATAGCAGTTTTTCAAAAGCCTCCCTCAGCATAGACTTCAAAGTCTATTCATGCACCTGTGCCTCTGATCTTCAATTTTTTTTTTATTTAAAAACTGCAGAAGGAGAGGAGCAGTGTTTCAAGATCAGTAGCTTTATTTAAAAACAAAAAAACCCCTCAAAAAAGTCCCCCACAAAACTCACGTTGCCAGTTCAGAAATTGTTAAAAATATCTTTACTGAATATTCAACACGTTATTTATGGAAAACGACTCAACCACGCTTTCATTTTCCTCTCCTCTGAGTAACCCCTGGCCTTGCTAACACCTATTTCCTGCCTCGTCTGTTTACAATACAGCTGCTGAGATCATTTTCTTGATCTGTTGGTCCAGTGACATCAGCCGGACCCACGAACTCCTCTACCGGCTCGCTCTTGGACGGCACAGAAGTGTTCTTGTGAGAAGCTGGTTCGTGGAGGCAGGAGCTTCTGTCACCCTGATGCATTCGACGGCTGTGGCCCAAAAGCGGGAAACAGCAGAGCTTCCTCTTTTGTAAAGGTCCTCTCAGGTGATGAGAGAAGCCTGGAGACAGAAGAGGTGGCCCCATGGAGCTGCCCGCTGAATGCAGACAGGCAAAGCCTGGCATAGCCCAGCTATTTTGGCATCTCCTTTCCTCATTTACTTGCTGCTTTACAGATTGGTCTCCCAAGTTGTTGGTGTGAGTTGGTGGTCTCCTGGTTACCATCACCTCCTGGCCTAGTGCCATACCCTGATGTGGCTCGTGGCTTGGGAGGCAGCTCGGCGTCATCTTCTGGTGTGGGCGAGGCGTGGCCAATTCCCAGCCACAAGCCCCATGTGCGGTTGCTTCAGTGGAGCAGAGGCGTCAGGAAAGTTCTGGGGTTTGTGCCTCTGGAGAGCAGGGCTTGGCTGGACTCTGGCGATGAGGCACGTGCCCTTTGGGGAAGAAGGGGCTTTTTGGGGCACATTTTCTTTTCCTGTTTTCTCGCCTGCCCCATGTACCCTGGTTTGATACACAGCAGGCCTGTTCTCAGCAAGTCCCATGTGGGTGTCGGGGTGCAGGGGTCACCAGCAGGCCCCAGTGTCTCTGCCCGGCCCCTGGTTCCCCACAGCCCTGCCCAGTGCCCAGGACCCTGTGTCAGCCCCTGGCACAGCAACGCAGCAGCAGGGCTGGGCTCCAGCTCCCGCAGCCCTGCCCGGCCATGGGTCCTGCCGAGCTGGGCCCACTCAGGGGCCAACAGCCCGGCCTGGCCTTGGCCCTGGCCCACCCCCATCCCCAGGGAGATGCCTGATGCCCAGGGCTGGGGCTGCCCTGGTGCCTCCCCAGCTGTCTGCTCCTGGCTGGGGTGGTGGAACATGGACAGACCCTGGCAGAGAAGGCCCCTTGAGGCATCCTGGCAGTGGGTGTGCCATTTTACCTGTGTGCTTTACTTACTGAAATAGAATGAAAATATAGTATTAATGTACACCATGTCGCTTCACTGAGTCTCTGAAATCAGGTGACAACTGCTGTGTGACAGTAAGAGCTATTGATTTCATAGCATTTTAGTTAATTTTTGAGAGACGGGTGGCTGCAAAAATTGTCTGTAATGTGCCATTATGATACTCAAATCTGTCAGTATTTAGAGTTGCTGATGAATTGTTTGGTAAAATACAGGATGATTTGTAACAAGCTCTGCATTGCAATGCCTAAATGTACAGGAGCTTATTCCCACAATCCGTGAAATCTTGAAGTATGGCAGCTTGACACTGAGCACCTGTGTTTCATGCTGAGTGAAAGTGATCTCCACAAGAGCAAAAACTCCTTAAAATCTACCAGAATGGCACAGAAATAAACAAATCTTGTCTTTCAAGAAAGGAAGATAAAGCACGTATTTCTTTCTCCCAGTGGGGATACAAAGGAAGTATTATAAACACGTGTTAACCGGCTGTATGAGCTGTGTGTGTTCATTTCCCCCGTTCTGTGACCAGAGCTGACTTGTCTCACTGGGATCTGAATAAGTCATAGTGTTGTTTTTCACATTTGCATAGCTGGGCTTGGTATAAATTGCAGTAAAAAAGTTATTTGATACTATCACTTTTTAACTTTCTTCCTTGTCTCGTTGGAAATGGTGGTGCAAATGTGTGGCAGAACAGTGCTTTAAATATTTGATTTGTAAAATTCACTGGGTTCAAGCTTTCCAGGTGCTAAGGGCATACACTTCTTTTTTACTTTAGTGAAGGTGCAGGGTCCTCAACACCTCTTTGCAAAAGGGTGAACTGTAGTGAACTGTAGACCTGCCCATGTGTCCTGTCTACACCATGCCTTCCTGAGTTTTGGAAACTTTTTGTTTCCTGCATGTGCAGTCACTTGCTTTAGGAGTCATTCTAAGTTTTCTTCTAATTCTCTTCTTGATTTCAGATTGACTTGGAGCCAGAAGGGAGAGTGTATGTCATCATAGACCTTTCAGGATCGTCAGGTGAAGGTAGGGACTCTCAATGTTTTCTTTTACTCTTTCACGAATGAAATCTTCCAACGGCCTCTGCAATGGAAGTATTAGAGGAGGTGCTGTGCCAATATCCTCTTAAATCTGTATGAGCTGAAGTTAAAGTGAACGCATTTTGGTATATCGGCCTGTGAGTCCATGAACAGTTGCAGTTCATCTTTCCCTGTTAATCACCAGTGGTAACAATACCAGCTAAAAGGACAGTAATGAAATGAGAATAGTTTAGTAGTATTAATTTCCAGAAGAAACTTCCAAATTCTTATTTTTAGAAGAAGGCTAACCATTATGTAGGTAGAAATTAAAAGATGTCAAAGGGGGGTGTGTGTGTGTGTAGTTTATTGGCTTTTAAAATTATTCTAAAATTTGGTATTTTTCCACTATATGTTTTCTTTTTCAAGTAAAGTAATGACCAAAACACTGCAATAATAAGAGGTGTTTTCATTTTTATGACACAGCAGTTACATGTTGGGGGAAAAAAAAACAAAAAACAAAGAAAGATGAAAGAGAAGTATTTATTAAATTCTTAAGATATTTTTCTGCTGTTAAGTGGGAACAGAGTCAGGTGGTATATGGTGGGAATAAGAGAATTTATGGAGAAGCAAATCTGTGTATCTTAGTCATGCTCTCAGTGACAGACTGACCTGCTGAAATGGCCTAGGTGGCTGGTATGGGTTTGATTCTTTTAAATGATGTCCGCTGAGCAGCTTTCCACAGTACCTCATAGGGCTCAGCTAAATGAAGTTATTGTTGGTTCACAGTACATAAAGAAGATCCACATAAACCCTGACGGGAGCTGAAACAGAAAATGCTGTGAAATGAAATTAAATTACTTTGCCTGGCACAGTGGAGAAACAGCAGAACAACACGTTTATATTTCTGTTCTTTGTAATGAATTGCTGTGCTCTGACCAATTACTAACAGTAGCTTGCAAAAGCACTGAGTTTTAAAAACAAAGCAAGCTAGTATTTAAACCTCGTCTTATAGCCACATTTTGTACCCACATAAGATACGCTCTGCCTTTTTTTTCTTCCTGCATATTGAAGAAAATATCAGTTTAGTAGTAGTTGTCACATATCTTGCTAATTGGCCAGTGATGGACTAAAATGTGGTTAAAGGCATTGGTCGGGTTCTGTCATAGGGCAGGTAGATGTTCTTCCAACCTTCCATTGATAATTAATTGATACCCAAATGAGCATAGTGTTACTGTTCCATTACAAGATGCATTCATGTGTGTTGGACTGTCAAAGAGCAGGAAGAATGGTGTTACGTTGTTCTTCAAAAGTTCTGTGAAACTCTATAACCTTTTATACAGGAAAAGAAAAAATGGCTATGGTAATGTCTCCCATATTATGTGGTACATTATCCTGTGGCACCTGAAAGGTGCTTGGAAAGAAATTTGCAGAGCTGGAATTTGTATCGCTACATTAATGTTGAAGGGGAGCACTCGAATGCAAACAGGCCTCTGAGGGAAAACAGTTAATGAAATGCTGTCTTATGGGAAGTCCTTGGGAAGATCGGGAGGCTTTAGTTAGGATGAATTTGGTAGAACCCTGGAGAAGTTGGTGTGCTTACAAAATGCAACAGAACTTCTACAGTTCTAGAGCTTTCCCATACAATTAAAATAACCATGGAAAAGTGTTGTAAAGAAATATTGCAAAATTCTCTAGGCCTCACAAGGGAAGTTGGACCAGGTTGCTCCAACAGTTCATACACTGTTTTTATGGTGTTCTGTTAGCAATGTTACGAAATCCCATTTTTAGCATGCCTTATTAGGGCTGAGACCTGGCTAATTTTGGATGAGTCTCCTATCACTTCAGCTGTCTTAGTGAAGTATCTAGTTTAACATAACAACTGTATGTGGCCATCTGTAGAGAACAGAAACACTTGACCCACACGGAAAGTAGCTCATTCTGTGTGTTTCCAAAAATGTCTGTTTCATGTGATCAATGTATATATGCGTACATTTGTATGTTCATTGTAGATCTGTATTCACTGACTATGAAAGGAACGTAGGATGAAGATTAGACTAAATGCATGACTTGCGAGTGGCTAGGGTTGGCTGAGGTGATTGCTGCTCTTGACCGAACTTTTTAACTAGGATCTTGTTTTTGAACAGAGTACATAGCGTTCTTTTCATGCTGCACAAATGGGTTTTGCTATTTCTCCTCGGATTCTGGAGGGGAAAAAATTGGCACTTCATGAAAATAAAAATACCTGTAGCAACAATTTTAACTGGAGGAAGCAATCACATTGCATATTTCTCAGCAGTATTTAAAAAAAATAAAAGGCAATAAAAAAATCTCAACCATTGAGATGTAGTATGTACTTGCCAACCAGTATTTTCTTATAATTCTGTGTACTGAAAATTGGACTTATCATAGAATCACAGAATGGTTTGGGTTGGACGCGACCTTAAAGGTCATCTGGTTCCAACCCCACTGCCATGGGCAGGGACACCTTCTACTGGACCAGGTTGCTCAAACCCCCATCCAACCTGGCCTTGAACACTTCCAGGGAGAGGGCATTCACAGTTTCTCTGGGCAGCCTGTTCCAGTGCCTCACCACCCTCACAGTAAAGAATTTCATCCTTATGTCCAATCTAAACCTACCCTCTTTTAGTTTAAAGCCATTCCCCCTTGTCCTATCACTACATGCCCTTGTAAAAAGTCCCTCACCAGCTTTCTTGTAGGCCCCTTCAGGTACTGGAAGGCTGCTTGAAGTTCTCCACACAGCCTTCTCTTCTCCAGGCTGAACAGCCCCAACTCTCTCAGCCTTTCCTCATAGGAGAGGTGTTCCATCCCTCTGATCATTTTTGTGGCCCTCCTCTGGACCCACTCCAACAGGTCCATGTCTTTCCTGTGCTGAGGGCTCCAGAGCTGGACGCAGGACTCCCAGTTGGGGTCGCATCAGAGCGGAGCAGAGGGGCAGAATCCCCTCCCTTGCCCTGCTGGCCACACTGCTTTTGATGCAGCCTGGGATACAGTTGGCCTTCTGGGCTGTGAGCACACACCGCTGGGTCACGTTGAGCTTCTCATCGACCAACAGCCCCAAGTCCTCCTCAGGGCTGCTCTCAATCCATTCTCTGCTTGGCCTGTATTTGTGCTTGTGATTGCCTTGACCCATGTGCTGGACCTTGCATTTGACCTTGTTGAACTTCCTGAGGTTTGCACAGGCCCACCTCTCAAGCCTATCCAGGTCCCTCTGAATGGCATCCCTTCCCTCCAGCGTGTCGACAGCACCACACAGCTTGGTGTCATCTGCAAACTTGCTGAGGGTCCGCTCATTCCCACTGTCCATGTCATCAACAAAGATGTTGAACAGCACCAGTCCCAGTACCGACCCCTGAGGAATGCCACTCGTCACTGGTCTCCACTTGGATATCGAGTGGTTGACCAGAACTCTGAGTGCAACCATCCAGCCAATTCCTTATCCACTGAGTGGTCTATCCATCAAATCCATGTCTCTTCAATTTAAAGACAAGGATGTTGTGCGGGACAGTGTCAAATGCTTTGCCCAAGTCCAGGTGGATGACATCAGTTGCCCTTATCCACCAGTGCTGTAACCCCATCGTAGACGGCCACCAAGTTTGTCAGGCATGATTTGCCCTTAATGAAGCCATGTTGGCTGTCACCAATCACCTCCTTAATTTCCATGTGCCTTAGTATAGTTTCGAGGAGGATCTTGCTGCTTCTTGTTTCTTCTGCGTGATATATGCAGGTTTCTGATTATCAGCAGTCAAGAATGTAACTTCAGTTATTTGCACTTCTGAAAGATTTTTAAGATAGCTCTCCAAATTCTGTATTGGTGTTACTGACTTCAGATTAATTGAATCCATTAATATGGGCAGAGAGCTTTGTCCTCTATTAAATTGCATCCAAGAGGCAAAAGTTCTAGTTTTAGAAATGAGCCCTTATGTGAATAAATTGCTATATAAATTGAAAATTTACATATAAAATCCTAAATGGTGGATAAAGAAGAAACATTCTCACTAGTAGTATATTCTCACTAGTTTTAGTAAACTTTTACGTAATACTGACGTAAGATGCTGTTACCATGTACCTCCTAAAATTCAATTGTCCCTTAGCTCCAGCTGCCAGACTGCTTATCCCTCTGCACTATTTGCACTTGCATGGCAGAACAATGAAAACAGTTCGTTGTTATAGCTCGCTTCCTCAACAAAAGTACACAACAATTTTTCTGCCTCCTTCCCCCTCCCCTAAACTGAGTCATTCATGGACTTCCATCACTTCTGTGACTTAGGTGTACCGAACAGATGGAAATATGGCAGATTACAAACAGAGGTAAAGAGTACTTCTGCCTCTCTACGTCATATTGAGGCAGACTTGTTGAGAGCCACCCTTAGATATCAATATTGGCATCTGGCACCTATTTTTATGTGAAACCGTAGAAAGAAGGGTTGAGTTGCTAGCTTTGCTACTTGCAGTTTTTTTCACATTTTGAAGACAAGCTACAAATCCATGGGAGGTTATAGAGCTGTGCCATCTTCTCTGCCACTTCCGATATTGTGAAATTTCTTTGAGAAGCCGCCTGAAGGAGAAGCTGTAGTTCTCCAGCAGTAGCAGTGCACTTGTTAGGGGCAGGCTGGAAAGCCCGAGGCTTTAGACTGCTCTCCACTGCAAGTCTTGTGGCACTGCCAGCTCTCCGAGTGGATTGTTCAGATCTCAGGGTATCTGTGTTTGTTCTGAAAACATAATTTTCTAGAACTTGCTCCCTTTCAGTTCTAGTCTTTGAAGCAGAAAAAGGGTGGAAAACACAAATGCTAAAGTCTGAGAAGTGGAAAGCAAACTACGTTAAAAGTCCTTACAAGACCAACAACAAACCCAACAGGAATGGTTTTATCGTCACCTTTTTTACACCAATCCTGTTTCGAAACTTGCTTATAGTTTCTGAATGTTTGTTCTGCACTGAGAGGGAGAGTGAGTAACTATTTATTTTAGTAAATTCTGTAGTAGGAAGTA